CTGGAAGATCAAGGATCTCAGCAAATTGATGAGGCTGAAAGCAGACTCTATGCCCCAGGAAGATCGACACGAGATGAGAATCACAGGGACCAGAAAGATGTAGATTATGGTAGAACTTCCTCACCACATGGGGGCAGTAACTGGTGCTTCATCGACTCCGGAGATCAAAGAACTTTTCCCAGCCAAGATTTTTTATTAACGTCTTCACTTCTGGAGGGAAAGGACTTAGGTGGATGAACTCGTACTCGGGCACAATTGTGGTTTTGCTTGTAAATGAAAGATAGTCACCGAGACTGGCGGTGGATCGCCAGTCTTCGTTTGATAGAGATAGTATCCCCATTTCCACAAACGATCTACTTCTGTTTGCCATGGAGTCTGGAGGAAGAAGGAACAAGGGGAAGGTGAAGATGGAGGAGAGAGAGAATGTAGGTGTAAGAAAAAGTGATCTTGGGGGTTGAGTCTGGAGACGTGAGTGTGATGGAGACGGTTGAGTCTGGAATGTCAGTTAGAAGATTATGGAAGATATGTAATGATGATGGTAACTCGTGTAGGTTAAACTAGGTAAGTCATGCTAGTTAAATTAGGGTTGGCGCACGAATTGATACAGCATGAGAAATGAAATGGGCTCACACGTTCCAGGCCCACTTTTGAATATTGCATGGATCATGTACAATCCCACTTTTGAATGTTATTTAAAAGCCTGCAAAAATAATTGATCAGACCCAGTCCAACTAGAATTAGTCCTAAACGCACCGTTAATACATAAACACAAATTAAGGAGACCTCTCCATCCGATTCAAATCAAATTCTGTCTTCTTCATCTCCTTCCTCAATCCTCTGGGCGAGATGAACACTACATATCAGGAAACCTTAATTTCAGGGAGTGATAGAAGTTTCGAGAAAATGACAATGACGGTAAGACAAGATGACAAAGCACTAGCGACATGAACCCTAGGGTTAGCAAAATGAAAAGTTTGATGAACACAATAATAGACATGGTCGCCGTAATCGTGTTAGAAAGAGATAGGCGAGGGGAAATAAAATGGCGAAGAACAAACAAGACAAAATCAATTGGGAAATTCAAACTACGTCGAATGTGGATGCAAGTAATTGGGATTCAAAAAGATGATTAAGTTGGGGAGTTCAAATTGGATGGGGAGCTTCTCTTGGAACTATGAAGGGGCGTCCCTCCAAGACGAGAGAGGGATCGTGTAATTGGTTAGGGAGACTGGAAATTGGTTAGGGCGGCAGTGGGTCTACCCAATTGGGTTTGCAGTCTTAATCTATTTAATTTAATCGGGGCAGTTAGTTGGACTAGGATGAAAACAATCTTAACGCGTAAGGAGGCTTTTTGTAATTTGTTTAGTTATTTAGTGGCGCAGTTAGGTTCAACAAACGTGAGCCGAGGAGATTGAGAATGAATGGTTAAGATCGGCCCGGATTTTTCCCTGGGCACCGTAGAAGTCACCATATATATATGGTGACGTATTCGGTGCACTCACTTTTTTGGGTGCATTCAGTGCACTCGCTTCATAACCGTCATTTTAAACATGCGATTTATGTCAAAATGATGTCAATCATCACTTATGATGTGATGAACAATAACGCACATGAATTTGTCCAAAAACCATTGAAGATTTACTTTAATTTCAAGGATTTAGAGTTTAGAGATTTAGGGTTAGGGTTTACAATTGGGGGTTTAGGGATAGAACTCAAAATTGAAGGTCTAGGGCTTAGGGTAATCCGCTAATTAGGTGTTATCATATGTTATATCATCATATTACACTAATTCTACAAATTAAAATTCAAAATCCGACACCTTAAGACTAGTTTTTGAGTTGGGTGCATTGAACGCACTCATTTTTGTGAGTGATATATATATATATATATAGTGGCGTAATTCGGTGCACCCGCCTCATAATTGTCATTCTGAGTATGCGATTCATGTCAAAACGGTATCAATTGTTGCTTATGATATTATGAACAAGAAGCACATGAATTTGAAAAAAGTTCATTCAAAATTTACTTTAATTCGAAGGATTTAGGATTTAGGTTTAGGGTTTAGGTTTACAATTTGGGATTTTTTGTTGGGATTCAAAATTGAAGGTTAAGGGGTTAGGGTAATAGATTGATTTGTTATGATTCTATGTCATATCATCATATTAGATTGAGAGTACTAATTAAAGTTCAAAATTTGATTTATTATGGACACTTTTAGAGTTGGGTGCACTCAAGTCTCAAGTGCACCAAAGTAGCCACGATATATATATGTATGGTGGCGTCTTCGGTGCACTCACTTTTTTGGGTGCATTCAGTGCACTCGCTTCATAACCGTCATTTTAAACATGCGATTTATGTCAAAATGATGTCAATCATCACTTATGATGTGATGAACAATAACGCACATAAATTTGCACAAAAACCATTAAAGATTTACTTTAATTTGAAGGATTTAGAGTTTAGAGATTTAGGGTTAGGGTTTACAAATTGGGGTTTAGGGATAGAACTCCAAATTGGAGGTCTATGGCTTAGGGTAATACGCTAATTAGTTGTTATCATATGTTATATCATCATATTACACTAATTTTACAAATTCAAATTCAAATTCAGACACCTTACGACTAGTTTTTGAGTTGGGTGCATTGAACGCACTCATTTTTGTGAGTGCATCGAAGTAGTCACCATATATATATGGCAAAGGGTAGCGTATGACTGACGTACATTGTACGCCTGTGTTCACATTTGATTTTTGCACTTCAATATATTTCATTGAATCAGAATCGTCTGTAATTATTTTTTAGATTAAATGAATGTTGTGTCTTGTGTTAGAGAATTAGGGATTGGGGTTCACCCATTAGAGGTTAGGATATAATATCATGCCCCAAACTTCGGTTAATTCATCCTCTAAATAGTAAAACTCGACGGGCGTACAATGTAAGCCTGACGTACGCTAGTCTAAAGCATATATATGATGGTAAATTTTAGATTTTTAATTTTTCAACACAAACGCGAATATCAAGTTAACAAATAATAATAAGACGAAATACATTGAATAATAATTGATCAACAAATAATAATAATCAACAACTCTGATTAGTCGAAATAAGACGAAATACATTGAATAATCAGGTCATACTCTGGTGTACTTGAGAAGTATACCAACCATTACTTTTTATCTATACACACTGGTTGGATTAGGTCAACAGAATTGGAGTTCCTTCCAACAGTCCCTAATTGATCATATTTTATCAAAATACGAAAACCAAATTAATTTATTTCATTTGAACAGGAATTAATGAAGAACCAATACTCAAAATGTTAGTTTTTAGTAGTATTGAATGACACATGGATGGGTTGAATATTATTTTGGTTTATGATTCCGAGCTTAGATCCGGTTAAGATTTAAGGTTGCGTTGCACGCTTTCTTCAAATATACACTTCATGAGCTGCCAGCCCATGTTTTGACTCTTGGCCAGTGGTTGACCATTGACTAATACTTCCTTCCAACATATATATATACATCTAATTACAGAACATCAATAGACACCCATTTCTGATAGTGTTACAGTTTGGTCCAATCTTTTGCTGTACGAATGACCGTCTCACTGCGTACATGATTTGAGTTCAAACAAGTTGAAACCTGTCAATCCGTAAGACTCGAGTACTAGTGTACGAAGAATCAATCAACCAACCCGATTACTAACTCGAACGGTTCCTCTCCGATGATGGAGTGACAGAATCCCGGGAAATCTGGTATGGATATAGGACGGAGGAGGATGGGTGTGGCACCAGTTTTTGTGCTCCTCCAAAAGGGAAAAGGAATAAATGTGGAAAGCAATAAGGCCAACAGAATGTTGATGCTGCTGCAAGTGGAAAAACCCAATCCCGAACCAGCTAGCTAGCTGCATAGCCAACTCTGCAAAACCTTTTCAACCTAAACACTAAACATAAAGTAATTGGGTAAATGCCCCATTTTGGTCACTCAAATTACTGGAATAGATTACATTTGGTCACTCTCCCGTTAGTTTCCGTCCAACTTCATAAATGTAACCTATTCCAGTAATTTGAATGGAGTTGGACGGAAACTAACAGGAGAGTGACTAAATGTGACATGTTGTCATGTTCCAGTAATTCGAGTGACTGGAGTTGGATGGAGGCTAACGGGAGAGTGACTAAATGTGACCTGTTTCAGTCATTCGAGTGACCAAAATTGATATTAAATTTTTCTAGTGACTAAACATGACACGATTTAGTAATTTTAGTGACCAAACGTGGCATTTACCCTAAAGTAATTGGTCGAAGAAAGATTATCTGTCGTAGGCTGAAAGTCACCGATTTCGGGGGCACATGATGTATTGGGTTATACGCGTTCGTTTTTTTTTTCTTTTCTGTTTTGATATTTGTCTATAATTTTTTCGTTTTAAAATCGGCTTAGGTTAAACCGTCTGGAAGGAAAAAAAAAGTACTATATATTTTGTCACATTGCTGACATTACATGTGTGTTGTGTCTGACAATGATAACAAATACTAGTTATTTGAAATTTTTGATGACGAGCCAATTCATAAATTAATTACCGTAGACAATTCATAAATTAATTACGTCTGTCGGGGGAGGAAAATGATCGATATTTGCCTATTTGGTGAAGAAGCTGATGGAATAAGATTTATCATTGTGTCATCGACACAAGCAAGCAAGACATTCAATTGAGACCCTCAAGAGTCAGCTATGCCTCCTACCTATTATCACTTATCCTCTGCGTGTCACGTTATTACATGCATGTAAAAAATACGTACGTTTTTAATTCTATCTATAACCATATATGCAGTTAGTTAGTTAGTCAGTTAATAACTCAATATACGACGTACAGTATAAGAGGTCAAATTTTCGCGGAAAGCCCCAAAGCAGAAAACAATGAATTGAATTGAGGTTATAATTAATTATCAAGGGGTCCAATCATTGAAATAAAACCTTGCTTGCTTTGCTTTGCTTTATGTATTTGCGCCACCTTTCATTTTCATTCCCACTCGATGGATGGAAGGAAGGAAGGGAGGGTAATATGAACTCCCACTTTCATGACATTAATACTGTCGGTGCTTTGATTAACACCATGCATCCCAATCCATCCTTTTCTCTCCCCATGTTACCCGCTCTATCTAGCCACCTATATTTATTTAAGCTATATAACTCCATTTATTTTCACTATTACTCTAAGATGAAAAACAAACAAAACAACCTCCATTAATTTGTTTCTAATGATTTCTAGATAGATAGAAACCTCTACTCCAAATCCATCCAAACAAGCCACCATACAAAATCAAATGAAGTACACTCTAATGAGAACAACAAGAGCGCTTTAAGTGTCACTCTATGGACAGTCGAGTTGACAATCTGCAGAACCGCGCTAAAACTATACCAAGAGGACACAGACTTAAGTAACTGAAGACACTCTCGAAGCAAGGTATCCCAACAAATCTTCCACTGATCCACTGGTCTAGTTGTCGGATCGCTCTTGAACATACTAACGTGCTTTCGCTAATTCAACTCGTGTTCTTTAACCATGGATATATCCCTATTGTGGGACGTGGTGGACTCATATATATGAGTCCTGCTAGCTCGTGACACATTTTGCTGCAAACTCAAATATTACATTGTCCTACCTATTCATAGAACTTTTTCTACTTCCAATGGTGGATTCCCAGTTTGATCAACACTTAAAAAAAACTATAAACATATGGTGTAACTCGAGCACGGTTCCATTTGAGATACATCGATGTCATAGCAAAATTACGAGTTTGATTGATACTCCGGTCGGAGTCAAGCAAAAAAGAAACCAACAACACAACTAGGAGAGAGAGAGAGACTTGTCATGAAATTGAGGCCAGGAGTAATGAGCTGGATCCAGCTCCATCTACAGCCTACTGTACTAGTGGTAGACAAGAATGGCAATTTCAAAGATCATGATACTAAAATGTGTTGGAAAGTAATCTTTGAAGAACAGCAACCCTAAGTCTAACAATTAAAGCTTTCGTTAATTATATGGGAATGGAATACTAATCATTGATATCATTACAACTGTTCAATTACAATTCTTTCCTTTCCTTTCCTTTCTTACACTTCTGTAAAAGAACAAAAAGAGAGAAAGAAACCAAATAAATAAATAGAGCATCAAGTTGTTGGAGGAGGATGAGATCTCTGCTCCCTTTCCTGCAGAGAAATCCCACACCTCCCAAATTATTACATTTTCATACCCCAACTCCACTTTCTCTCTCTATCAATCATATAATTTAATCCCCATCGCTACAGTAATCCCCCAAGTTCATGTATTTTATAAAAACGCACCAAAAGGACGAAAATGAAAAGGGAGGAAAATTTTTGTATCGTAATAATAACAGGTGAGAGATGGAGAAGAGGAATAAAGGATGGTGGGTGGGGCCCACGCTACACCACGGCCCATCAAGCTGATCCGCCCTCGGGAACCTCACCGGCCCCCTGAACTTCCTTCTTTACCCTCGTCTCCACCCCGTAATAACCGGAATACCACTTCACGAACTTCCTCAACCCGGAGGCCAAATCCGTCGAGGGCTTGTACCCGAAATCCCTATACGCCAGGCTGACGTTGGCGTGCGTGAACGGAACGTCGCCGTTTCGGGGCATCCCCACCACGTGCTTCTTCGCCTTCTTCCCCAGCAGCGACTCCAAAATCGACACCAGCTGTCCCACGGGGACCGGCGACGTGTTCCCCAGGTTGTAAACCCGCAGCTGCGCCGGCTTCTTCTTCTTCCCGCCGCTTCCCGTGCTCTTCTCCGCCGTGTCCAGCGCCCCCACGCACCCCTTCACCACGTCGTCGATGTACGTGAAGTCACGCGCCACCTGCTTCCCCTCCTGCGTCTGGTAGACGTCGATGGACTTCCCCTGGAGGATGTCCTTGGTGAAGAAGAAGTAGGCCATGTCCGGGCGTCCCCAGGGGCCGTACACGGTGAAGAATCGGAGCCCCGTGAGGGAGAGGCCGTAGATGTGGTTGTAGGTGTGGGCGATTTCCTCCCCTGCCTTTTTCGTGGCGGCGTAGAGGCTCGCCGGCCGGTCGGTGCGGTGGAGCTCGGAGAACGGGACCTTGTCGTTTAGCCCGTAGACGGAGCTCGACGAAGCCCAGACGATTGCGGGTTGGGGGTTGGCCGATTTCGCGATTTCCAGGAGATTGATGAACCCGGCGATGTTGGAGCTGACGTAGGATTGGGGATTTTGCATGGCGTAACGGACGCCGGCTTGTGCGGCGAGGTGGAGGATGTGGGAGAAGGGGACGACGTCGAATAACTTGGCAAGCAGTACGGCGTCGTTCAGATCTCCGTCTACGATGAAGACCTGGTTCTTGAGGAGCATCTTCTGGCGAGATCTCTTGAGGGATGGGTCGTAGTAGGAATTGAAATTGTCGAGGCCGAGGACGCCGTCTCCGCGCTTTTTCAGGGCGATTGAGCAGTGGGAGCCGATGAATCCGGCGGCGCCGGTGACGAGGATGGAGAATCCGTTGGGGCGGCGCGGGGTGGAGGAGTGGCGGACCTGTTTCTCCCAATTCGGTCCGCCGATTGCGGAGGAGGTGGGGAAGCGGGAGGAGGAGAAGAAGCCGGTGGAGAGGAAGCTGTGTCGGTGGATGGCGGCGCCGGCGTCGACACGGCGGTCGGAGAGGGGCGGGTAGTTGATGGTGAAGAAGAGGACGAGCACGAGGGCGATTAGGAGGGTGGTGCGGAAGATGAGCTTGGAGGAGGCGTTGAGGAGCTTGGTGCTCTGTATCCGGCGGACGTAGCTGTTGTAGCGCTCCAGCTTGATGGTCTTGCTGGTGTCCGGCGGCGACCCCATTGCCGGGATTTTGACTAGCTTTTTATTTGTGTAATGTGATTGCTGGGTGGGTCGAAGGTGGAATGCGGAATTCTTGGTAGTTGAAGTGGGTGAGGAGGAGAGCTTCGGAGCTAGGTGAGAGCCCTGAAACTGAGAGGAGTGTGGGAAGAAGGAGATTATAAAGGAGGGAGCAAAGTGGTTGGATGGATGGGAAATACGAGAGAATTGAATTAAAATCCAATTAGGAGTTACACAACTGACTGTGAAATCGTAATCACAATTTCAATATATATAGAATATTATATTGTTAACATTTATTTTCGTACAATTTTTTTATATGCTTTCACAAAATATTTGGAAGAAAGTAAATGTGCAGAATGAGAGTACGAGAGTGAGTTTTAGTTGTTGTTTTTTTTTTTTTTTTGTGATTGATGGAAAGTGGTGGGCACTAATTGGAGGTAATTAATTGTGTAGTAGTTTTGAAGCTTCTTCTCCTTCGTGTATTTGATTTCTAAAGCCATTGCTTTCTAAGCATTAATGCAATCAGTAATGTCAGTGTTGCAGTAATCATTTTTGGGTGGGTTATTACTTGTCACATTTGAATTTTCTTATAGGTAGCATCTATTGTACATATGATTACAATTACTAATGAATTAACCCTTAATAGTTTAGGTTGGTAATGGTTGTTGCCTACTTTAATGTAAATGTCAAAGATTAAAATCGAAGATACTAAAATGATTCAAGGGGTAATAAAAAAGCACAATAATAAAATTGTTATGAATAGTTACCATCTGATGTGATAAAATCAATGGAGAAGTCATTCGATACTCAGTTCTTTTAATTATAGGTAAAAAAAATGCAAATTTTGTAATGAAATTTGAAAAATAAAACATTTGATAAGAGGCATAAGACATTAGTTCCTTTTTATCTTGCATGCTAAGATTTAAATCACTTATGTGTGTGTATACAATCACATCCTTTTAATAGGAGATTCGATCGAGGTTGAGTAAGAAACTAAGAATACATTGTCAATTAAGGATATCAACCTTCAAACTATTGACTTTTGTGTTACTTGCATCTTCACGACCTATTGGGCCGAGACTTGGTGACTGATGGAGGCAGCCCACACGAGGCTCATGCAGCCCATGCACTCACACAACCCACGCCCGCATTGGCCACCCATTACGTCTCTCACTCAAACTCTGTAACCCTAGATGATGGTTGTAACCTTGAGTGTAAAGAGAAGGGTTGTTATATCAAATCGATCAATCAATCAATAAAGAGATAGAGTGTTCCCCGTGGATGTAAGTCTCACACAACGTGAGGAAGAACCACGTAAATCAAAGTCTTGTTTATACTTCCACATAATATTACATGGTATCAGAGCCTGGTTCCCGGTGATCTTGGCGCTTCCTTATGGGTGACGACGATGCTAGTTCCGTTATGAAGAACAGTGAGAAGCAGCCGACATCGAGCGGTTAGAAGTCGGAGGATGAGTTGCCCAACGAACTTCAACTGAATAGGTCGGATGGCCTAGGCAACATGCTCATTGGTGATGTTCTTCAGGCAGGGAATGATCTCCCGTTCATCTCACGTGTCAAGGATTTTCTCGATGGCAGGTTCAGTATTAAGGATCTGGGTCCGCTTTGTTATATTTTGGGAATTGAAATAGCTCGGGTTGCTGCAGGAATGGTTCTTAGTCAGAGAAAGTATGTTCTTTACATATTGGAGGACGTTGGTACCTTGGGGGCTCATCCAAGCCCTTTTCCTATTGAATAGAATCACCAGCTCACTCGTAGTACTGATGATATCTTACATGATCCTTCACTCTATCGGCCGCTCGTTGGTCGGTTGTTGTATCTCGAGATCACTCGCCCGGACATTACCTATGCAGTAAAACGACTTTTCGTTCAGGCACCCAGTCAGATGCACCTGGATGCTGTATATCGAACCCTTCGCTATCCTAAATCCAGTCCTGGTCAAGGTATTTTTTTTCCCTTCGTCTAATTCTTTGCAACTCACTGCTTACTGTGATGTAGACTGAGGAGGATGTCAGAGCACTCGGCGCTCCACGACGGGTTACTTCATCACCCTGGGTGGTGCACCCATTTCCTGGAGAGCTAAACAGCAACGAGTGATTGCCAGGTTGCCGCTGAAGCCGACTACCGTGCTATGGCCAGCACGGTCAGTGAGTTCATCTGGCTTCAATGGCTTCTTGGTGAGCTTGGCGTGCCATAGGTTCGGCCGACTCCTCTTCACTGTGACAAACAAGTTTTCCTTCACATATCTAACAATCCAGTCTTCCACGAGCGTTCCAAGCAGGTCGAGATGGATTGCCTCTTTGTTAGAGAACGAGTTCAAGCTAGTCACTTCCTCCCTGCTAAAGTCAGCTCGGAACTTCAGCTTGCATATTTGCTTACTAAGGGACTTGGGGCGGATCTTTTCCGGTTTGTCCTTTCCAAGCTGAGAATTCGTGATCTGCATGCTCCAGCTTGCGGGGGAGTATTGGGCTGAGACTCGGTGACTGATGGAGGCAGCCCACACGAGGCTCATGCACTCACACAGTCCACATCCGCATCAGCCACCCATACCGTTTCTCACTCAAACTCTGTAACCCTAGATGATTATTGTAACATAGGGTATAAAGAGAAGGCTTTTTATATCAAGTCGATCAATCAATCAATGAAGAGATAGAGTGTTCCCAGTGGATGTAAGTCTCACACAACGTGAGGAAGAACCACGTAAATCAAAGTCTCTTTATACTTCCGCACAATTTTACACGACCAGAGCAAATAATGGGATTTTTAACACTATTTCAAAGTATGGATATAAGATATCATCGAAAAGATAAGATTCATAACGTATCATGCATTGTAAATTTGTAATACAGACATTCACCATCTAATCTAAGCAACAAAAAACAACGAATATTACAATATGTATGCATATACGAATAAAACCTTGAGAATCGAAGTTTCCAAATACTACTTTTTAACTTTGATTTATTTTTTTTTTTGAGAGAAAATTTAACTTTGATTTTCCGACTATACTTTGTTAGATATCTGACTACAACCGATTGAAATTGGTGATTGATCTAATCAACCAATACGGCATTGTTGCTATTTACACACACCTGATTCTGAGCTTGTGCAAGATTGAATATCTTATATGGTAAAAACTAGAATGTATGGGCCATGTGATTCTCTCTTCCCCAGTGTAATATTGCTGTAATTAGCTAGGTTCCATTCTCTCATGGAAAGTGTCAATCTCTCTCAGTCTCAGGCTCTGACCCGAAGAAAGGAAGAGGAAGGAGGAAAGGGGCGCGAGGAGACAGCTATGCCGGGAAACCTCAGCGCCCATGTGACTTACACGTGTTCAGATGTGAAACGTCGTCCAATTTATGCTACCCCATTCGTCAATTTTATCCATTTATTATTGTTACATAGTTATTATTATTATTATCATCATCCGTATTTCACTATCTTTACTTTGGATTAATTACATGTCCACAGCCAATAGTGACGGTAGTTAATGATCATAATTACCGTTATAAATATGGTTTCACGTGGCAGACGGACAGTATATGCTTCACATTTACTTTACCATATAGCTCAACTTACTCGTTACAATAATCGGGTTATGATTCTAGCCCTCTATTTATTTTTTATTTTTTCATTTCTGCTGATGAATTGCCTGTTGGGAGGTTATGTTTTTGTTTTGAACAAACCCTTAAATTTACCCTTTTCTGAATCAAACAATAAAAATATTAACATAGTTTCTGATAATTTTCTTTTGAGAAAAATTGAAAGTTGATATGTATACATATAACATTGGTGGGATATTGATAAAGTACACATTAAGTCTGTCATTATAACACATGAATGATTCATGTTATGAAGCTAAGTGGTGTTGCGTAATATTTTGATAAATTTTTTATGGTATGGTAAAATATTCACATATCGGAATTTGAAATCCACGCAATTGATAACTCACTCACTTGGCTTATTAGTTTTTAGTGATAAATGATGAATGGCTCTTTTTTTTTTTATAAAAGGGAGGCACAAGGCCAAAGATTACAAGAGCAAAAAGATCAAGACACTTATAAAGCTCCTATCCACACAAAGGAAACAACAAATCATACCAGAAGAAAAGCCAAGGAAGCAGCAGCTTCAAAACTCTATCTAATCACATCATTCCCCTCAGCAAAAACCATTGCTCTAATTCTGATGGACTTGTCTCGGGAAGCTAACCCCTACAATGTCTTCTGTGCAAATCCTGTCCAGTTCCAATGGGGGGTTCTCAAGTTCATACGTACCAAAGGGATAGACGAGACTGTGCTTCGAGAGCCAGTCCGCGACTCTATTCCCTTCGCGGTACGTGTGAACCAGTTGAACTACCCATTCTTTCGCCAACAACCGTCGAATTGCTCCTAGAAGGGTAGCATGAGGATGGACACTGTCTCTTCTATTGTCAATAATCTGTAACGCGAGTTGAGAATTCGATTCTAAGATGAGGAATTGAATTCCTTTCCTCCAAGCCAAATCCAGACCCTGCAGTATTCCCCATAGTTCTGCCAACAAGGCAGTACCAGTCCCTATCTTACTGCAGAAGCCCCCAACCCAGTCCCCATTGTGATCTCGCAAGACTCCTCCTGCAGTGATTATTCCTGGGTTACTCTGTGCTGCACCATCTGTATTCAGTTTGTACCATCCTATTGGTGGAGATGTCCATCCAATCATGGCTTCCACCCTCTCTCGCTTCTCGCCAACAGCAAGGGAAAGCTTAGCTGAGTCCCAAATCTTCACCCACTCTGTAGCTTTTGCTGTTATGTAGTGCTGCCGGGTGGAATTAGCAAGCTTGATTCCTTTGAAGACCTCATCATTTCTGCATTTCCAGACATACCACATGACCAGACTAAGGAAGTCCGCCCATTGCCCTGGCCAAGTTCCATGGGAATCGTCCATCAGATTAGCCTTGAGCCAATCATCATAATTGGAGTTGAAAAAGTCAAACTCCCTCTGGCCATCCACAATCTTAGTCCATACTGTTTTTGCTTTCCTGCAGTCTCTTAAGCAGTGCACATTAGTCTCAGGAATTCCCCTGCATTCAATACACGAGTCATCTTGAGTAAGGTGTCTGTGTTTTCTGATGCTGTTCGTCGTCAGTTTCCCTTGCACAGCCATCCAGATAAATACTCTCACCCTCTCCAGCACCTGAAGCTTCCAAATACGTTTCCAGTAGTGTTGGTTCACTTCAGGATTCTGATGTTGGAGGGCTTTGAAAGTCGAACTAGCTGAAAAACTCCCGTTGGCTGTTAGGCTCCAGAAAGGTCGATCCTCTTCTGCTGCCAAGGGGTCAACGATAGCTGCTCGTATCTGATCAACCACCTGTTGAGGTAGCAGACTTTGAAATTCATCCAGTCGCCATCCACTATCAGGTTCCCACAAGTCGGCCACTAGCTGTTCCTTCTTCTCCTCTGGAATTTCTTCTAAAGCCATGTCAATCAAAGGTACCTGCATAATCCATGGATCAAGCCAAAAATGAGTGTGTTTACCATTCTTAACATTAATGGCATAACCTTTCTTAAGCACATTGGCAATCGAGGTAAAGCTTCTCCAAGCGAGAGAACTTCCCTTAATCTTCTTTAGCACCTCTAGCCCTTCTCGGTTGCGTCCATACTTTTCCAACAGCAGCCTTGTCCAAAGCGAATCCTCTTTAGTAACTAGCTTCCAGCCTCCTTTAGCCAACATAGCCTGGTTTGCTAGCTTGGTTGGTCGGATACCGGCCCCTCCTTGGCTTTTTGGTAGAGTCATTTGTTCCCAAGCAATGGGATGGAAGCTAGTTTTCCCCTCCTCTTCTCCCCACATGAATTGTCTATTGACCTTGTCTAATGAACTGCAGACAGAAGCTGGAAGTAACTCTGAAAACATCGGATACACAGCCATGGATGTAGAGATAGATCTCACCATGGTCATCCTGGCAGCCAGTGAAAGATATATTGTTTTCCATGATGAGAGTTTCTTTTGAATACGCAGGACAAGCTCCTTATATATGACTTTAGTGACTCTTCCATGAATGGCATTAAGCCCCAAGTATCTCCCAAGGTCTGAAGTCAGCGGAATATTGGCTTTGTTGCTCAACCTCTGAGCCCTGTCAATGATGAATGGCTCTTAATATGTCATATTGTTTTGCATAACTCGTAATGAGTAATGTACACAGTATACTTAATTAATTATCTCCAAAGTAAATGAGTAATTCAAATTTTATGGAAAAATAATTGGAACTCTCACTTTTTATTTTCTAAGTATGCATTTCATATCAATAAACCTCCTTCTTTTTTTAATAATTAAAAATGTACCTCTTATTATTATTTTTAACAATAAAAACAGATTCCTATTGTCGCCCTAAGCTAATTTGCTCTGAAAATGCTCGCTACCGATCCGACACGACATCAATCTCCGACGCCGGCGACCATCCCTCCGGGGCGGCCGCCGGACTTTCCCCAGATGGTGGTTCCACCGGACCTTACAGCATCTAGTCCAGATCTGCAAGCGATCTCCTCCTCCACGGAAATGGCGGTTGATTCGACCTCAGCGATCAACCAGACCTCCAGTCAATCAAAGGATATGGACACGGAGGTATTGAAGACCTCCACCCCTGCGAACATGATCAAGATCCCACCCGGGCCGACGAATCTCGGAGGTTTCTCTTACGCTGCAGCAGTTTCCGGAATGAAAAACTCTGAAAATCCAGGAACGCCAGGCAACCAATGGACCCCAGTTGGAGAACATGATCTCATCCCAGGAGATTTCAATGGGGAGCCAGCCCTACAAATCTCGGCCACCTTCAAGAACAAACTCTGTGCTCCTTGGCAGAGAACTCTTGTTGTCCGGCTCTTGGGGATTAAAGTTGGCTTCACCACTCTCTGCTCTCGCCTCCGGGCTCAATGGCGGCCAACAGGGCATATGGAAGTGCGAGACCTGGACCATGATTGCTATCTGGTGAAGCTCGAAAACGATCAAGACTATTTCAAAGCCCTCACCGAAGGACCTTGGACAATTTTCGATCACTATGTGGTGGTGCACCAGTGGACTCCAAAATTCAGAATCTCAGATCCCCTTCCGAAGAGGATGATTGTTTGGCTCCAACTACCCGGACTTCCGATCCATCTCTACCACAAAGAAGTTTTAACTTCTATTGGAAATCTAATTGGGCGCACCATCAAACTCGATTACCACACATTGAATCAACAAAGAGCCAAATTCGCGCGCCTGGCTGTGGAGATCGACCTGGGAAAGCCCCTTATTCCTCGAGTTCACATCGACGGGGAATGGCAGAAGGTTGAATACGAAAACCTTCTAGAGGTGTGCTTCGAATGCGGCAAGGTGGGTCACCCGTCGGTCTCCTTCCCAAAGGTTCGTTTAACTCCTCAAACGGGTGCTCTGACGGTGGCCGGAAATCTGGGCGTGGACAGCTCCGACGCGATGACGGTGGCGGAACCGAGCGCAAGTTTCGGTCCTTGGATGATAGTTACCAAGAAAAGTCGACGGAATAATAGGGATCAAAATCGGAAAGGGAAGGAGGAATCGGAGGAAGGGAAACTGAATCAGGGGAATGGGAGCAGGAACGGAAAGAATAATTTGGCAAGAAAGGAAAGTGGAGATAGTGCGGGGCGGCCTCACCATAATCCTCAGTATACCCAACGGACAAATATCTCAGAGAATAAACAAATGGCTGTTGGCAAAAGCAAAGAAGAGGAAAAAAAAGGTAAGGAGAAAGTGGGATTGGCGGGTCCACCGACTTCTAAAGGACTACTGGGCCCCGGCCCTTTTCTGTCCAACACCACTGGGCCTAAGGCCTCTCCCGGCCCGTCAGAGGCTTCCTCTTCACATGGCACTAGAGGGCCATCTTCCACACATGCTCCCCTTTCTCCTAAGACTGGGCCCGCTACCAACACCTCAAGCCAAATCTTTCCAACAGCGGATATGCCCATCCAACTCTTGACAGGGCCCAATGGCACTAACATGCAGATAATCTCGACCAAACAGCCCACTTTCACACCTCTATCAGAGACAAATTCCAAGCGGCAGGAGCTGGGAGGGAAGCAGAAGCAGAATAAAACTTCTAAAACCAGATCGCGCAAGAGCTCCCCGATGAAGCAGAATCCTCTCAAGCCGCTGCGGATTTGGTCTCCGATGAAGGAGAAGAAGAGCAAAACGAAATCTTGGCTGGCCACCCTTACTCTTGAAGAGATAAATGACTGGACCAAGGGGGGGATGGAAGCAGTAGCGATGGATTTGAGGAAAGTAGATTCGCCGGTCAGAAATGCTCCGGTGACTACCCCTCCTGAGAATCAAGCGGCGACTCCCTCCACCTAATTGGTGAGCCCGTTACTTTTGAACCTCCTTTTCCCTTACCCTTTCTCTTCTCTTAAATATTTATCTATGTCAAGTGCAACCTCTTTCAAAATCTTGTCCTGGAACGTAGGTGGAGCTGGGAGCCGAGCTTTTGCGCGGTCTCTGAAGATGGTCCTCGAAACCCACCGTCCAGACTTTGTGATTCTCCTGGAGCCCCAAATTAGTGGGTGTACTGCGAATTCTCTTTGTGACTGGCTGGGCTATTCAAACGTCTTTAGAGTGGAAGCAGACGGCAAGAAAGGAGGCATTTGGGTCTTCTGGGATAACAAGAAGTTCTCTGTGACTCTGGCTTCCGCCTGCAATCAACATCTGTCTCTTCACATTTCCCAGGGGAATGAAGCTCCCTGGCTTCTCACTGCAGTCTATGCCTCTCCCCACCCGAGTCTGCAGTACACCCTTTGGAACAGCCTGGTAGAGCAAAGCAAGACAACTAATATGCCTTGGCTGCTCACGGGCGATTTTAATGCGATTCGAAGTCCGGAAGAGAAGAGTGGTGCCCCGTCGGCTTCTACCTTGAGAAGGTGTCGCCTCTTTAATGACCGGATCAACTTGGCGGAGCTGATTGACTTGGGGTTTTCGGGGCCACGGTTTACTTGGACTAGGGGGGAGCAGGGCAGTTCATACAAAGCCAGCAGAATTGACAGGAGCTTCTGCAACCCGATGTGGAACGTTACCTTCCCCAACTCGGCTGTTCGCCATCTTCCCCGGCTCCATTCGGATCACAATCCCAGCCTAACTTCTGTTGCTTGCCAGGGGCACTCTCCTCATGAGTCTCGTTCCTTTAGATGCGAAGCAGCTTGGTTTACTCACGCCAATTTTTTGGATTTTGTTGCAGGAGCTTGGGATGTAAACGCCAACTTTCCGGAAGCTTTAGATGAGCTTACAGCTAAGCTTAAAGAGTGGAATCTCAATGTCTTTGGGAATATCCAGCAGAGGAAGCGTAGGCTCTGTGCTCGGATTCGAGGAGTTGAGGTTCGCCTAGCAAATTCTTTCGATCCAGGCTTAGCCAAGCTTCATACCAGGCTAGCGGAAGAGCTGGATAAAGTTCTGGAGCAGGAGGAGCTGTTGTGGTTCCAACGTGCTAGAGAGAGATGGGTTCAGTTTGGCGAGCGCAACACTGCCTATTTTCACCAACAAGTCAGTATCAGGAGACGGCACAACAAGATTGGGGCCCTTAAAGATGCGAACGGGGTCTGGATTGACGACCCAGACGAGCTTGCCTCTCTTGTGTTTGACTATTTTGCTAACCTCTACCTGCAGGATGACTCAAACTATGAGGATAAACTCCCCAAGCAAGCCTTCCCTAGGCTTAGTCAGTCTGAGATGATGCTCTTACTGCGCCCCTTTACTATGTTGGACATCCATAGGGCAATCTTCGATATGAAGCCTTTCCAGGCTCCGGGCCCGGATGGTTTCCAGGCGGCTTTTTATCAACAGTCTTGGAGCACAGTTGGCAGGGCTCTAGCGGATATGGCGACCCATTTCTTCTCGACTGGGAACCTCCCAGCGGCGGTCTCAGATTCTACAGTGGTGCTCATCCCCAAGGTTGACAACCCCGAGCTGGTTACCCAGCTGATGCCGATTTCTCTGAACAACGTCAGCCTGAAGGCGATCACTAAGGCGATGACGAGCCGGCTTAAGCCGATCATGAGGAAGCTGATCTCCCCCAGGCAAAGCAGCTTCATCCCAGGAAGACAGACCTCAGATAATATTATCATTGTCCAGGAAGTCCTCCATACCTTGAATAAGAGAAGAGGAAGGACAGGAGGGATGGTTTTTAAGATCGATCTTGAGAAGGCATATGATATGCTTAGATGGGATTTCCTGAGAGATACCTTGAAAGAGGTTGGCCTTCCTAGCACCTGGATAAGCTGTATCATGCATTGTGTCGAGCAGAACCAGATGAAGATCTTATGGAATGGAAAGCTTTCTCAACCTATCACTCCTTCCCGTGGCGTTCGACAGGGAGATCCTCTTTCCCCCTATCTTTTTGTTCTTTGTATGGAGCGCCTTTCACACAGGATTGATGAGGCCGTTCTTAATAAGCAGTGGAAAGCCATTCGCCTTACTAAGGACGGCCCACCTCTGACTCATCTTTTCTTTGCAGATGATTTGCTCCTTTTTGCAGAAGCTGAGTCTCGGCAGATTAAGGTGATTCAAGAATGCTTGGGGGACTTCTGCACTAGCTCTGGGCAGCGGGTTAACTACAACAAGTCAATCATGTACATCTCCCCCAACGTCAACCGGGCTACAGCTAATCTCTTGAGCAGAAAGGCGGGCATTCCTCTTAAACAAGAGTTGGGGAAATACTTGGGCATTGAGACCATCCATGGCCGGATCACCAAAGGGAGATATCAAGGGCTTCTCTTAAGGATTCAAAAGAAACTCGCCCCTTGGAAAGCTCGTCGACTATCATTAGCGGCAAGACTCACCGTGGCTCGTTCGGTAACTTCGTCTCTCCCTACTTATCACATGAATACTGAACTAATCCCTGTTGGTGTGTGCAAGAGTATCTATAAGCTGAACAGGGATTTCATTTGGGGAGAAGAGGAGAACAAAGCCAAGATGCATCTGGTAGCCTGGGAGAAGATGATACTCCCAAGGAGACAGGGTGGAGCTGGGCTGAGATCCATCAGGCAGGTGAATCTGGCGATGCTCGCCAAAGGAGGTTGGAGACTTCTCAAGGAGACGGACAGCTTGTGGTGCAGAGTTCTGCGCAATAAATACAGCAGGGATCAAAGGGACTTAGGCATCATCCGCCCAATTCAGGGAAGTTCTTTTACATGGAGAAGCATATCTAAGGCCGTTGATTTGCTTCATAGAGGTTGTGCGTGGAACATTAAGAATGGTAGACGCGCTAAGTTCTGGTCCGATGTTTGGATTCTGCAGGTACCTCTCAAGGATGTAGCGGTTGGGCAAATTCCGACGGATATGGAGGATGCCGTGGTGGCTGATTTTGTGACTCAGGAAGGGGCTTGGCGTACCGACCTTTACTCTGACCTTCTTCCCCAGGAGGTCCAGATGAAGATCCTTAGCACAGCTGTGGACACTATCTCGACAGAGAATGACACTATTTTCTGGAATGCGGCCTCCGATGGAAGATTTTCGGCTAAAACAGCTTACAATCTTCTTAACCAGCACGATGCAGACCCAGACGAGAAGTATTGGAAGATCATTTGGAGCCTACCGGTCCCGGAGCGCGTTAGGAGCTTCCTCTGGCTGACGTGTCTTGGTCGAATTGCAACTAATCAACTTCGTTTTTGCAGGAAATCAGCTCCTAACCCGGACTGTGTCCGCTGCCTGGGACAGCCTGAGAGCATTCTCCATGCGCTTCGTGACTGCCCCCCAGCTCTTTTCTTCTGGAGCAGGCATGTCCCTATTGCGAAACAGCACTCCTTCTTCAGTGCCGAGCAGGGCGATTGGCTGCGTGAGAATCTTAGCAACTCAAAAGCAGGGCCTTCCGGGATTCCGTGGGCTGCTTTCTTTGGTGTCGCAACCTGGTGTCTCTGGAAAAGCAGATGTGAGGCTTGCTTCAAGGGCCTTGCGGCCGTCCTTTCTCCTCCTTCTTTGGCTCACTCCATCATTGCTAAAGCGAAACTTTGGCATGATGCTTGGCATGCTCCGACGGTTTTGCCTGGCAGCAGATCTAAAGCGGCTGCTAGGGTGGTGCAGAGTATTGGCTGAAAGCCCCCTCCTCAAGGTTGGTGTACTCTTAACGTTGATGGTGCCTCTTGTGGTAATCCAGGTCCAGCTGGTACAGGGGGTTGCATTCGAGACAGCTCCAAACGCTGGGTTTCTGGTTTTGTGGGCAATATAGGAACGACGTCTGCTGCTCTTGCGGAATTATGGGCTGTCTTTCATGGTCTCGAAGTTGCTTGGAACACCGGCTGTCGAACTCTGAAGATTGAATCAGACTCGAGGTTAGCTATTGAGCTTATTAACAACCGTTTGGACCAGGTTCATCCCTACTCCACTCTTCTCTCAGCTATTCGCAGGAAACTAAGCCAAGACTGGCTGGTGAGCATTTCTCAAACATACCGGGAAGGGAATAGAGTCGCGGACTGGCTCTCGAAGCACAGTCTCGTCTATCCCTACGGTATGCATGAGCTTGCGAACCCGCCCCAAGGCTTAGGAAGTATTCTGCAAGAGGACAACATGGGTATCACTTTCGAGCGACGTGTGGTCGCGGACTCTTCCTCCCCTCCCAGCCTCTCGGCGCCCCCCTTGTAATCTCTTTCTTCGGCCTTCGGCCTCCTGTAATGCAAAAAAAAAAAAAAAACTTTTCTTTTGTTTCTCTCTTACAGCTAAAATAAAACATTCATTGATCATGCATATTGTCAGATAATATTGATTAATTATATTAATGAACGTTATATTATATGCGATTGCGCCTGCTACTAAGCAAGTAAGCATGGAATCATATGCGGGAACACCGCTTAGCTTCATGGAAACTTGAGTTATTCCATAATGTTCAAGTATCAAACGATAACAAACTACATTATCGATAAGAATTTGGCGGTAGATCAGTATTAAAATATTCATGGCATGGGCACGTATAATCAAATATATATCATTAGTATATTAATGTGAAGCGTTGATGATTCTGTCTACTGGGGAAGTCTAGCTACCTGAAATTTATTAATTGATTAGTTGTATATTCAATCCATGAATCTCTCACAATAACTCGATTTATTAGGACCCCCAATATTAGAATTCATACGATCCTCAATATCAACCATTCATTTAAATCACGTGGTATTGAGGGCATGTGTAAACTTTAGGTCCATGAGCTGGCTTTCGTTGAGGAGTGTGCAAGAAAGTGGTTAAGATCTATATATAGATCTCTCCAACAACTCGACTTATTGACACAAGTTGATTTATGTCATGAGGTTACGTGATCAATTCCTCACGACCCTTAAAGATTAACTATTCATTTGAAGTGCATGGTATGGTGGGAACGTGCAAATTTCAAACTCATGAGTTGGTTTTTGT